GCCTCTGTTGTTTTGAACTTTAAGAGTGGCTAAGATTCTTTCTGCTTTTGCTCAGAAGAATTCACTAGATATAAGTTTAAGCCAGATGGAAGTTAGCCTAGCATCAAGCATATCTTTTAAGATTGAAGCTGAAAGGCCTCCGTGTTCGTAATTAAGCTAAAAGGTTGAGTATCAAGGGAGTAGCTTTGAGTTGTTTTTTGTTTAATTACTGATAAGAGTATTTATCATATTTAACTATTTCCTACTAGGTGGGAGAAGATAAGCTGTATACCAGATTTTGGAGATTAGAAGAGTCTTTGCTATTAGAATTTTGCCTTTGAGTAATAGGTTTCTTGATGAAAGATTATGGATATTCTTTTTGATTTTTTCAGTAAGATTAAACCAGAGATCTTTTCTGATGCTTCTTTTAATAGTTATCTCAAAGCCAAGAATTTTGAGATACTCATTGTTATTCATAAGTATTTTGAAACTATCCATATCTGAGAGCTCTACTCAGCATACACAGTCTGTGAGAGAAGCCAAAATCGATTTTGTTTTGTTGATTTTGGAGTTAGAGGCAAGCTTGTATTTTTGAAGTATGGTTTTAAGACTGGACCAGTTAGAAAGAGATCCAATGCCTATTGTCAGGTCATCTGCATAAGCTGCTACTTTGAATGGGAGTCCTTGAAGGTTTATACCTCCGATGTTGTTGTGTATTGCTTGAATAAGTAGATTTATTACTAGAACATAGAGTAGTGGTGAAAGTGAATCACCCTGTCTGACTCTTCTTTTAACCTTAAAAGGTTCTGAAATTCTTTCTTGATCTGAGAAATAAGCTTGTTGTGTTGTAAATAAGTTGTTAATTATGTTAAGTATTTTTGAACTGAAGCTCACTTTCTCTAGTATAAGATTCATAAATTGGTGGCTAATACAATCGAATGCTTTTTGTTGATCAAGAAAAAGAAGCCAGTATTACTTGGATTAGTTATTTTGATTTCTTAATACTGTTATAATATCAAGAGCAGAGTTCATAATTGACCTGTTAGCAATAAAGGCTTGTTGCAAGGGGCCAATAATTTCATTACAAATAGAGTTTAGTCAGTTGGCTAAGATTTTTATAAAAATCTTTGCATCACAGTTGACAAGTGAAATTGGCCTCTAGTTGCTAATATCTTCTAAATTATCAGACTTTTTTGGAATTAGTGTGATAATGCTTTTACATCATAATTGCGAGCTAGCTCCAAAGTCAAGGATCTGATTAAAAGTTTTGCAAGAACTGGAGTAATTTTCTCTTTGGTATCCTTATAGAATTTATAGGTTAGGTCATCGAGCCCTGGGGATTTGTTATTTAGAAGTGTATCAATAATTTTATTGATCTTGTCTTCTGTAATAGTTCTGATTAGAATATTATTTTGGTCTGATAAGACTGTAGGAAGATCTTGTATCAGTTCTTTTGCTGCATTAAGATCGATTAGATCAGCCTTATAGATATCCTAGTAGGAGTTTCTAATATATTGCAGTGAGTTTGAGAGAGTTGGAGCACTGGTCCTATTTGGGTTTATAATTTTAGTACTGCATGAGGTAGAGTGTCTAGATTTATAAAGTGAGAAGAAGTATTTAGTAGATTTTTCGCCTTCTTCTATCTATTTTGCATTGAATCTTATTTGTCATTTTTCTGAGAGAAGAGTAAGCTCTTCCTGTAGTTGTAGTTTGAGATTCTCTGCTACACTTTGAAGATTTTCTAGAATTGGGTTTTTGGCTATTCTATTGTTAATTACAACTAATCGTTTATGAATAGTGTCTATTATTTTTTCTGATGCTAGTTTTGGCTTGAAAGCTCTGCAGATTGATTGGAAAATAACTTTATGCGAGTTCCAGTTGTTGACATCTTGGATGTTTTCTATTTCACTGAAAATTTCTGATTTGAGATTTGTGAATGACCAGAACTTTCTGTTAAATTTCTAGTAGGAACTATATGCTAGTTCTGAGTTTAAAACAATTTCACTTTCAACAAGAAGGTGGTCAGAGTTTTCAAAATGAGTACAAGTATTTTTGCAGAATTAGCTGTGATTAGAGTCAATGAAGATATAGTTTAATCATGTGGCCATTCTTTGATTATCCTGAGTAACCTGATAAAAAGTTAGGAAAGGGCCTAATCTTGTGACTTCTGCAGTATCAGTAAAGTCTGATACAAGGTTTTTAAGAAGATCACTAGATGGATTTCTTTGAGGATAAGCTTAGCTAATACAGTCTTTTTTTGGGTTAATATTGATGTTGAAATCACCTGCAATAATGTTGACTACCTCTTCGTCTCTCAAAGGAGACCAGTTATTGAAAAGTTTCTTCTTTCATCCTGTCTTGGAGGGGTATAGACATTAGTCAGAAGATAATTGCAATGTTTATAAGTAGTCCTTGCTAGGATTATTCGACCATCTTTGAGTTCTTGTGAGTCAGAAAATTGGATTTTTTTGTTTCTAGCAAGAATAGCTGTTTTGGAGAACCAGATTGAGTCATAGTTCTATTGATGTACAAGAAAGTTTCTAGTTAATATGTCTGTTAGATTTGTTTCTTGTAGAAAGATAATATCTAAGTTGTATGATTTTAGAAGTGTAATTGTTCTTTGTGCTTTGGACTTATTGTTTAAGCTTTTGATGTTTAGTGTTGCTATTTTGATTTTGTTTATAAGAAAGAAGAAGTTTGTTAGGTTAGTCATTGAGTATTTTAGTACTCCTGGTGGCGACCACCTTTTGTTTTATTGTCTGATTGAAGGTCCTTTTTTCTTGTAGGTCCTGATAGTTTGACATTATTTTGTTCCTTCTTGTTAGATTTGTTTTTGAGTATTTTCGTAGTGGTTGTTGTAGATATATTATCGTCTGTACCATTATTCTTATTTGTTTCCATTAGAACAATATCCTGATCAGTGTTGATCTTTTCAATCTCCATATTTGTAGAGGAAGATGAAGTTGTAGTCAATGGTTGTTCTTGGATTTCTGAGCACTGTCTGTTAGAGGTAGGTTTTCTGTTGCTGGTTTTACTAGAGAAAGCTCTTGACGGCAAGTAGTAGTTATGCTTGCTTCTGTAGTAAGAGATTTATTGTTATCTGTAATAACTTTATTTGTTTCATTAATATATGGATTATTTGTACTGAAGGAGGGGTTTGGGCTTGTAGCAGTTTTGTTTTTTTGAGCCCTTTTTTCTTTGTGTAGACGTCTTGGCTCAATTGAGTATTTGAGTTCTTCACAGTCTCTTTTCATATGCCCTTCCTTTTCACAGTAATAGTAGACTTTTGGAGCTTCTTTCTAGTCAGTAGTAACCTTGTAGTCCTCTACGTGAGTAGTTCTAAGTAGTCTTGCAGACAGATCTGGGTCATCTGTTATTTCGAAGGAGATGATTTATTGATCTAAGCAAACAGAGGTACCTTCAAAGAGAAGAGGTTTAATTGAGGCAATTGATTCTAAATCTTGGAATGCTTCTCTGATAAGAGCACTTGTTTCATCTTTATCTCTCATTGGAGTATTTCTAAGCTTGACTGAGAGAAAAGTATGTTTGAAATTAAAAGGAATGTAACCAAAGAGAGTTTGTTTAAAGAGGTTAATTTCTTCCTCTTCACAGAATTTTTGTGAGTCTTTGTTATCGAATACAACTTCTAAATGAACCCTTTTGTCCTTGATGATATGAGCTTTAGCTGCTACTAGTTTGTTTCCTAATTTTGTTGCAAGAGCTAAGATAATATATTAGTAGTGATGTTGCTTAAATTTTGAATATCAAAAATGAGAGTGTTCTCATTTTTGAAGTGAATTCTATGCCTAGGAAAAGATTGGACAAAAGTTGCTTTGCTTCTTCTTAATTTAGTAAAGAGATCTGACCATTGCTTAGGCTTAGAGAAGTTGTTACCGGAAGTACTACTTTTTTGGTTATTTGTAGTAGTACTTGTATTTGATTGGAAGGAGGTAGGCTCCTAGATTTCAGTTATGTGTTTGTTGTTAAAGAACATATGTTTGTTTTGATTATCTGTTTTTATCAAATTTTCTTTTGTTGTTTTTCTTTTGTTTACCAGAGACTCCTTTGATTGCGTAGTAGGAAGGTTTTCTTTGTTTTCAGAAAATATTTCTGTTTCAACCTTGTCAGCCTAGCTAGTGATTTCAGAAGAGTTTTTGTCTAAGTTGATTTCCGAGTTATCTTTTGCTCTAGTATTAGACCTGTGTTCTGTTTTGTCAGAAGTTTCTTCTTAGCTTGACGAAAGATCAAAGATTTTGTTTTCCATTTTTTGGTTTGAAAGCTTAAGCTTTTTATTCCTGAGACTACTCATATTAAAAGTTACAAGTTTTCTTTTCCTGTTTCTTGGGCTTGTTGCCCTAGAAGAGTATAATATAGAAGAGTTTTTTTTATTATTATCCAAGTTTTGTTTTTTGTATGACCCTCGAAGTGAGAGGAAGCAGAGAAAGTTTTTTTTGTAGTTATTTTTTTAAATTGTTAAGAATATCTTCTTTTAGAACTTGTTTACCTTTTTTAGTTTGCTTGGTATCTACTGTTTTGCTAGAGCTTGAGTTTAGTAAATTTTCTTTATTTTCTTCTAAGTTTTCTTCGTTAGTTAGAGAAGATATTTTCTTTAATTTTTTTATATTTTTTGTGACTATAACTTCTTTAAGGAACCTTTTTC